GGCCATACTGCCAAGCTATGGAGAAAGTGGAAGCTTTTTAAGGGGAACTAGAGGGAGGGCTTCTGAACCCCAGAAATGTGCCCATGAAGAGGACAGAAGAACCAATTTCCTCTTTAACACCCTAGCTACAACATAAATATCTTTGCTTCACATGCAACCCTTCGCCATGACTGCCTCTTGGCCGCAGGCCAAAAACAAGGAGTTCAAGTGATTATGGATTGGACCCTCTGAAACTGTGAGTCAAAAGAAATTTTTCACTTGATGAAGCTGATCATCCCAGGTATTTCATGTTTTGGAAAGCTAACAAAAAGAGAAGATATTCACAGGGTCTTTAATATTTTAAAGTACGCGCCTGTGTGTGGGTATGGCAATGCAGGTGTCTGAGGAAGTTAGAGGCATCAGATCTCCCTGGAGCTGAAAGTATAGGCAGTTGTGAGCTTCCTGACATAGGTGTGGAAATTGAACTTGTAGTCTATACAAGAGTCTACACGCTCAGCTGCTGACTATTCTCTCTAGCGTCTGACAGGAAACTATGTGTTTCTGTTCTGCTACCAACATTAAGCAAATGCTTGACAAAGTTTTAATATATACAAAAGTGTTTAACAGCATAAACATTCTGTTTCTAAATTGACATAACGTGTGAAAACACTACGTACACTGAAGATGGCATTAGGAAGGTATGTGCTCAATGAGAAATACTTCATTACATCAACATTCAGAACCTGAAATGTGACCTTAAATATTGGTGCCATGTACAGAAAATGGCATGGCTTTGCTTTTTAAAACTCTTTCACTGGACATTGGCTGTCAGTTAGTAAAGAGTAGGTCCTACCTGCTTTTGATGGATGCTCTTTGTCTGAATTTAAGTATTTACTTTTGTGTCTACAAGCCCCAAATCACAAATGCATAAAGTGAAATGGCTTGTGATTTTACGTTTTAAAATATCAAAAATTTTTGCAGATTTAGTTACATAATGCTAAAAATTCCACAGAGCTATTTTTAAAGTAAAGAATTTAAATTAGTATTATTCAGTTTTCTGTCTGAAAATATTGAGATATTATACTTTGGTAACTATAAAGGAAAATTAAGTACTAAGAATAAAAATCATACTTTGATATTCTGCTGTAAAATAATCTATGTGAAAAAGAGGTTTCCCTACCCATCCATTCTGAAGGCCATAAATACTTAATTTATAGATCATATTTGGATACAATTGTAAAGATTATTCTTAGATAACATGTCTGTATTTCAACAGAAAAGGAATAATATTTCAAATAAATAAATTTATCTCTTTCTTACAAGCTAATTGAGGTACTAGGATATAGCTCATGGTAGAACATTTGCTAGCACACACAAGGTCCTGGGCTCCATTCACAGAATAGAGTGTGTTCTGAGTAAATGGAGCAAATATGATATTCATATACATGCAAGTGAAGTACAAAATAAATTATGGCAACATAGGAATTACAAGCTGCCAACTCTTTACCATCAAGAACTCCCATGTGCTACTACTGGAGACTCTAACCCAGATCCAGGACCTGAGCAGCTGCTGCCTCTTTGATGAAATAACCCAACGGTGGTCATTATCAAAGAAGGCTATCAGACACTTACATATGTCCTCCTGTGTGTGTCACAGGTACAGAGCTACTCTGTGAAGACAGTGGGGAATATTTTCGGTTATAGTTTAGTTTTTTGTTGTATAAACAATTTTTTCAAAATAGGGGTGGGAGGCAAAGAGAGAAGAGGGGATGGGTCCCTGTAACGAGCTCCCAAGGTTTAAGAATACTTTCATTGTAAGAGTTCTTTCTGTCTTAGTTTTCAGGACTGTTGAAGAAGCAAACACTCTTGTTTGAGAAGCCTATTTTCTGGATACATATTGAGAATTCTTGGTTTAAGGAGAACTATGGATCCACTAAGGATGAATGCCACCCACACATGCTCCTGGAGTTTTGTACAAAAATGCTAGTTTCAAAGTCTGGAGAGCTCGTTAGTATCTTCTAGGTTTCATTTTCATTGAAGTCAAGAACAAAAACTCTAGTACAAAGACACACGAAAAGATAACATGACTAGAATTTGCCTGCTTTTGTGTTCTATGTTAATGTTAACCGAGTCACTATAGGGCTCTGGAATTATCTTCTATGAACTCTTTTTTTTCCCCAGTTGTATGAAACAGGAATAAAATAAGGAGTAAAACTACAGACATAAAGCATCACATTGTGATAAGAGGTAACTGAGTGATTTAATGTGTTTTAATACATGGTGAAATTTAGTACTCTAAGTCAGTGCATGCTGTACTTCCTGGGTCTGAAGTACACTTAAATTTTAGTTCAAAACATTTTAGGAACTGTGGATATAGCTCAGCCAGTAGAGTGTTCTATAACAAGCAAAACACCCTGAGTTCCAGTCTAGCACTTCAGAAACTATTTGTGTGGTACAGCACACCGTTAAACCCAGCACTCAGAAAGAAGATGCAGGAGGATCAGGAGGTCAAGGTTATTCCTGGGTGTACAGAGAGTTCAGAGCCAGCCTGGGCTATATAAGATCCTATTCTCAAAAACTTTGTTTCATTATTGTATTTTTTCATAAAATTACAAATCACTACTTTGAAGAATACTTTTTACAAAAGCTCTATTAGTGTGTATGTGTATGTACATATATATGTGGGTGTCCAAGGAGGACAGAGGTGCTACAGGAGGGGGCGACTGTGAGCTGTGTGGTGCAGGAGCTCAGACCTGTCCTCCTCAAGAGCAGCATGGGCTCAAGACTGCCGCCCCATCTCTCCAGCCCCATCAATTACTTTCTTTCAAGAACTGAACATCATTTCTACCAACTATTTTTCTTCCTAAAACTGTCTTGTAGCGTGGGAAAGGGTACGACAATGGGAGTTTCTCACTCTAAAACTCTGCTCAGCATTTGAGGTAGGCAGTACTCACAAAGGCTACACAGACAAAACAGAACGACACGTAAGTTAACGTGCTTTTTCTTGTCATTGAAAATATCCAGAGCTAACACAACCATTTCTGTAGACAATAGCCACAGAAATTTCAAACGGAACTTCAAACTCTGAGAATAAAAGATACAGGCTCTCTGAGCAATGCTGTTTTTAAATATGCTCGTGGTTTATTTGCATAATCTTGGACAGATTTACTTGAACAATAAAAAAGCAAATAACATCTCTTAGTGAATAAAAATCAAGGTATTAAAAAAGGAAAATACAGAAGCACGGGCCTTAATTTCAGCATCGTAAGTTGAGACAAAAAGCTCATGAGGTTGATGCTACACCGCAAGGTCTTGTCTCAAAAACCCAAGAACCAAGCATTCAAGAAAAAAGGTGGGAAGAGATAGAGGAGGAGAAGAAAGAGCAAGTAGGAAGGGCCAGAAAGCCCACTTCTGTCTCTCTCGTTTTGCAGTGCTGGGACAGGAAGCCCAGGCTGTGCTGAGTGGAATTCAAGAGATAAAACAAAATCAACCAACCAAACAAACAAATTAAGGTGATAATTTGATAAAGATACTTCTTGGAATAAATATGCAGCAGATCCAAATATTTAAATATTAACATGAAAATGAAATGATGCCAAACAATGGACAAAAGCCTCCACTCCAGTTCATGCTCACACCAACACTCTCCCTTCATAGCCACACACATTCACATTCACATGCATTTATACCAAGTTGAGAGAGCAATTAAGAAGAGACCCCTTCTTTATCATTCGTTAAAGAAACACAGCTCATTTTCAAAATAGAATAAAATTCCCAGTTAGTTCAAACGATATGTTTCCAAGTTCCCTCTAGTTAAAAGCTGAATACATTTTCAAATTTGAGTGTAGTCTCATTTCCCTCACTGTTTAGTGGCATATTTCATTTAACAAGCATTGACTATATTCCGACTATGCAAACTCCCATCCAATATCCAGGCTCAGTTCCTTGAAGCTAGAGAAGCTAACAAGGAAAAAGCTACCACACTTAGAAATAATGTATCATCAGCCTTAGACCTTCTGACTTTTCAGACCACCACATGCATTACAGCAAGAGTGTCTTCCTCCCACCCAGACACAGCAAAAGCAAACAAGCTTTTTATTCACTGGTGTATGTCTATACTGGCTTGCTGTGAGATTTACACTTAGCTGAAGCTTGGCTTTCTTACTACGTGATTCCTGAGCTGTATGTGTCTGCAAACTGAAGGAAATAACAGGAGATGTGAAAAATGCGACAAGACTAAAAACAGATGTTGGTATAAGATTTCAGGGTCATTTATTTGTTCATTTCACTGTTTAACATGCAATCTCTATTTTTTTAAAAGGGGAAGACAGTTTTTTGTTTCTCTTTCTGTCTTAAAATGCCCAGACACATGGAACATTTAGAGAGATGAAGTGTATAAGTTGGAGACCCGAGAGGGTATAAAATAAAGAAAAGGTAAAGGAAGGATAAACTGAAAAACAGAATGTCCCCAAGCCCTCTCTTTCAGTAATTCTGTAAGTCCTTACTCTCATTTTCCTTCCGTTTAATTTGTCAACTCTGTGCAGATGGAATCAAGTTCCCAGTTGTGACTTGTAGATAAGGAACTAAGAAGCATGGTTGTTCTTAGGCATGAAGGCTTTTATGCCCAGGAAAACTATAGTTTTATTTTGTTTGTCCTTCTTTTTTACTGAGAAATAAAATTTACCACAAACCTCCTGGCTTAGGGCAATACAAAACAAACAAATAAACAAAAACAGAGTTGTACGGTAGGCTTTATTGATTCAGTCCTTAAGAGTCGAAGTTACTGATGGCTGTCTCAGACATCACAATGAACAACCTACCATATTTTTTTTTTCTTGCAAAGATTCATATTACTGTCCCTACTATGTCTTTCTCTGTTGGGTTTCTGAGAAATGATGGCCCAAGAGCTCCTGCAGGCTAATATGATCCCCCTCCCAGAGCACCTCCCTGGAGTACCTGCTTTAACAGTCAGAAACCAACAGTAAGATCAGGTTTCCATGCATTCTTATTAACAAACTTACATGATTTCCTGTTGGAAAGTTTCAGAGGCTGGACTATTATTTCTGGTCTTCTCAGCGCCAGTCTCCTGGGGAAAGAAAAGGTCAATGGGCCTATCAACTTTCAGCACAGGTTCAAGGTTAACACAGCACCAAAATATAAAATTCACAAGGAAGCTCTTGAAGGAATACAAGGCAATCTGTTCAAATGAACTAAATCTGATACTTCTCAAATTTTAAAGTTACTCTCCTTTCCCGAAATGACTATGTGTTCTCCTTGCAGCCCACACTCAGACACTAAATGTGCTAGTGCTGCTTTTTCACAACCCAGGAGAACCTAGACTGTCATACTACTTTTGGCCATCAGTCATGAGTTAGACAAAACAGTGCTCCAAGTCCAAGCCCAAGGGAAAACAGATTCACAGGCAGGGTTTGAAGCTCATTTTATCATAACTGTGCTAGAGTGATATTCTGCAGGGAATGGAAAGTCATTTGAAGAAAGGTCACCACGCTGTGCCAGCAGCTCACCGTTCCTGGAAGTGCTTGGAGGGAATCAGGCCAGCTCTGGGGTTGGCATCGCCTTCATGCTTCGCCTGCCACCAAGTCACATCATCTTGGCTCAGAATCTGAAGAATGTCTCCCTTTTGGAAAGACAGCCCCGCCTCCTTACATGGGATCGCCTTGTCCTCCTTTGGATCATAGTCAAAAAGGGCTTTGATAAACAGCTGGAAGTGAGGAATACATGGGAGAGAAAAATGTGAAGCTGTCTGCATTCTTGCAACTTAGACATAAGAAATGGTTATTTTCAAAGTATATATGTATTAGTTGAAAAAAAAATATTAAGTTCCCCACTGCAAACAGTATTTTGAAGACTTACCTTGCCTTCCTTGGAAGCTGTCTCCTCTTTGGTGCTGGGTATTATCTTAAAAGTAATTGCTCCCTGGGACTGACTCTGGTATTGGGGATCAAAGAAAGGGCCATTAGAGAGCTGGAGGGAAATAAAACAGATAGGTAGAGAGCTAAACATGCCTAGGAATGTACAGCATTCTACTTAGACCAAACCAGAAGAGTACGTTTGTAGAAATTCCAGAAACACAAGAAAGCTCTAAAGTATGCCAGGTCATTTAAAGACCATTTTTGCACTTTTCAATCCTGTGCACTTAAGGTAGCAATACATCAACTGCCATTCATGTTAAGTTCCATCCAAACAGAAACACACAAAATGATGAACAAGGCTAGAAATGAGCACAAGGGTCAATGCCTACAGCGGTTCACACAAAGACAAACTCCCAGCATCTAAGTGTTGGTAACCATATTTGGTGAAATAAAAAGCTGATACCAGATGCTGTTGTTTCTGTAGTTATTAATATAGGATTCATTTGGCAGCAATATGCATCAGAAAAAGAAACCAAGCACAGTCAGGTCAGTTTTATTCTGGTAGTGGGATAAACATCATGAACAACAAGTCCACTGAAAGACTTAAAGTCAGTTTTGAGTGCCTACTCACACTACCTACAGATACTTGCTGATTGTCTCAGAGGAGGGCAGACCTCCTTGTTAATGGATTTTCTGATGGCAACTGTGTGGAGGTATGCAAGGAGCTTCTATTGCTGTAGGTGTGCATGTTCATGTATCCAGGGGCAGTCTCCTACCCTGACACCTGAACGGAAGACTTAACAATTCCCATTCCTAAAACAATTTCACTCAAGTTTTAGCACTAATGGGGGTGGGCAGAGGCAAAAGCCTCATGAACAGCAGTGTAGACGCCATCTGTTCACACTGGCCTGAAATCCTGCATACATTGTAACCTTATCTCAGTTCGTTACTGCTTCCTCCATTCATGTGAATGAAAATCTTGACACTGCATGTACAAAGGTGTTTCTAAGTGTGCGCAGCACTTCGAATCTGGAGGGCCGAATCCAAATCAGACTAAGAAGCCTAAAGCAGTGATTCGATTTTCACTAAGATTTACAATGAATTGACAGCTTACCAAAATCTGTATTATTTCCTCAGGCCTCTTGTCTTCTACTGGGATCCCATTCACTTCCCTCAGCTCGTCACCCACGTGAATAAGACCTGACAAATACAAAACCTGGTAAATCAACAGTGTCACAAAATGACACCGTGATGTTACTTAAAGTAACTTAAATATAAGAAAAGAAACTGTCTTTCACAGCTCATATGCTTTGATTATGCTGTTCTGTGATGATGAGTATAGTAAATCAAATAACAGTATTTTCGTTTCTATCTAAAAATGCCCATTATTGATACCCTAGAAAATAATCATTTTTATTATTTACTACTTTTATTTAGTGTGAGTGTGTACATGCCATGTATTTCATGTGTGCAAGTCTGTGTAAAGGCCTGTGGTCAAATCTGGCATCATTCCTCACAAGCATGAACTACCTGTCATTGAGAATGGGTCTCCTACTGGTGTGGAGTACACCAAGATCTGGTCACACATTGGCCTGTGGACTCCACCTTCCCAGAACTGTGACAATGGGCACATACATACTGTCCTTATTCAATGAGTAAAGAGGTTGGTTCTCACCACTTCTATCTGCAGCTCCTCCCCGCATGATCCGGGCCACGATGATTGCCCCCGTCTGTTCATCTTTCTTAATGGTTGCACCCTTTCAAGGCAAAAAAGGTGGGAGAGGGAAAAAAAGCATTTGTAGGCAGATTTTCAAGCTGTGTTGTAAGGTAGAGTTGTGAAATAACTTTCATCTGGAAAACCCAGAAACTATCACAACGAGAAAGGAACAAAGTGGGAGGAACAGACATGGCAACTGTCCTCAGAGGTCCCTTTTAACATACCAATACCCAGGCTACACAGCACCTGGTGTTTCAGTACAGTTTAAAGATTGGTGAAATCTTGTATCTTCCAATTCATGCAAAACAATTTTTTTCTTTAAACTATCTACTTTGTATTGCTTTACTTTTGGAATGCTTTCTCATTTCATTTTATCCATATAATATCCTATGATGGGGTCTGGAGAGATGGTTCAGTGGTTAAAAGCTTGAGCTACTATTCCAGAGGACCCAGGCTCAATTCCCAGCACCTACATGGCAGTTTACAGCCAGCAATACCTCCAGTCCCAGGGGAATCAATGTGAGTGCAGATGTGGTGCACATATATACATACATACGTACAAACATACATACATACACAGAGACATAAACACATACACACAGACATACATACAAACATACATACATACACACAGAGACATATACACATACACACAAACATACATACATACAAACATACATACATACACACAGAGACATAAACACATACACACATACATACATACAAACATACATACATACAAACATACATACAAACACACAGAGACATAAACACATACACACAGACATACATACACATACATACATGCAAACATACATACATACACACAGAGACATAAACACATACACACAGACATACATACACATACATATATATGTACACTACACACACACAGAGAGGCAAAATATCCGTTGGGATTACTTAGGATGTTTTTCTGCCTGAGATCCATAGCAACATCATGGAAAGTCGACCCTTGGTTGCAAATGGGGCAATACTCCCCCAGGCTCAGGTCCTTTGATATGGTCCAACATCACAGGAATTCCAGTGCCAAAACAAACAGTTCTATGTGTATTGTGAAATGTTAGGTGTCAGGTTAATTTCTCTGCATAATTTTAAAATAAATCAATTTTCAAGAACAGCCTAAAGCAATGTTTTTCAACTGCATCATTTAATTTCCAACCAGCCATACCTGGCTACATGCTAAATTTCCTCTTACAAATTTAGTAGGTTATATTTTCAAGGCTATAGTTAGGATGCTATTATTTTACTTGGAGTTTTGCTAGTTGTTCTAAGCCATATTCTCTGGATGTAAATGCCCAGTTTGTTTTAAGATGTTGGGACTCAGAAGCAGCATAGCTCAAAGACAAGTTTGAGTGCTGGACACCCATCCCATTCAGCTCCCCCCTGACATCTCCTCACCAGGGGTTCTCTGTTCTTGACCAGGCGGATTATTTTCACAGAGTCTTCTTCATCATCGATATCATCAGGCATAGGAGGCAATACAGGATCATAACTCTTTTGAGCCACAGTATCATGTACTGACAGCAAAGCCTGTAAAACCAACAGTTCATAAAGAGCTCATCAGAGACAAAATCCTAAATTCACTGAAGTACGTAATAAAGCCAAATGTTGTGGGATAAACCTTTTGTACACTGTGAAGATGTGTCTTTGCCATGGCGAAGTCTGTCTGATCAGTTTAATAAAGAGCTGAATGGCCAATAGCTAAGCAGAACAGGATAGGCTAGATTTCTGAGAGAAAAGAGGAACTCAGGGTTAAAATCTAGGTACGTAGGAGGAGCCAGTGAGACATGGAGCAGTCAGATGTACAGAACAGAGGAGAGGTGAAAAGCCATGTGGAAAAATGTAGATTAATATAAACTGGCAGATAGAAATAGGTAGAATGTAGATTAATAGAAACTCCCATAAAATGACATAGAGACCTTTTATTAATTATGAAAGCTTGGCCTTAGCTTGGGTTATTCCCGACTACCTGTTTCTACTCATCGCCATTCTGTGACGTGACTTTTCACCTCTTCCCCATTCTGTATGTCTGAGTGCTCCATGTCTCACTGGCTTCTCCTGCGTACCTAGATTCTAACCGCGAGTTTCTCTTGCGTCTCCCAAATCCTGCCTATCTACTCCTGAAATTCAGATTTTTATTGAACTGATCAGAATTTGCCATGTTAAGGACACAGCATCACAGTGTACAAAAAGATTATTTCACAACAGCTAAAATAGCATTACCCTGTTGACATATTCATAGTATGGACACCATTGAAGCAGGGCCACTTTGGCTCAGGAGGGGTGAGTGGGGCAAGTCCTGTGGGATTACAGAAGGCAGACCTACTCAGGTGCATGTGCACCTCTACTTTTAGTACCACTGACATACGATGACAATCTGCATTAAATTTCCTCTAACCTGTATATTCTAGTAATCCCAATATAGTAGCAGTTGCAGGAAAAATCAGGGGTATTACTTTTGGAGGAGAAGAAAATATGGATACTGACACACTACCAATGAGTCAATAGAAGCTTGAAATACTGCACATGTTTCATTAATTTTCAGAAACATACTCACACACATATGATTGTGTAATATATATGTATGCACATTTGTGCATATATGTGTGAGTGAACGTGGACCATGGGTGCACTTGTGTGAGACCTGAGGTTAATATGAGGACTCTTCATCTTTCTCCATCATATGTGTGGAGGGAGGGCTTTTCGCTAAACTGAGAGATCAATGTTTTAGCTAGTCTGGCTAGCCAGCTTCCTGGGGAATCACTTCTTTACCTCCCTTGTGATGGGATTATACATGGCTGCCATACCTTTCACAACACTTTTGATCCAAACCCTGGTCCTCACAGTCATGTAACAAGTGACTTATCCACGGAACCATATGTTTTTAATGTGACCCAGTGCTTGCTTAGATGGAGTCCTGAGATGGCTACCAAACACTGTATAAACTAGTGTGGTGGGACATGTCTATTAATTTCAGCACCCAGGACACGGCGGCAGGAAAATTAGACCTTCTAGGTCATCTTTCCAAATATAATGAGTTTATATATGATATATATGTGTGTGTGCATTTTCGTGATACATTTATTTAATTATATATATAAGTATATTTTTTCTCATATATATAAATTTTTATTCTATTGGCAGAGAGTTGGTCAGTGCCATTATTCATTGGTTTCTGAGAAATTTTAGTGTAATGGGTATATACAAAAGAATAAAAGTATTTTAATATTTTCTCCTATAGATCAAAGAGGAAAGAAAATGTTGGAACTTTGCATTTCTATTTCAGATTAATCAGTTTCAGTTACTCCCTTGCTGCAGTGCCCACACCTGACTCTAACTCGCAACCCAGAGACCATGTTCTCCTCTCCCCTCCACCCCAACATGTAGCTTACTAAATACACTTCCCAAATATATTTAAAACATATTTTCATCTATCTAACCCAACTCAAAGATAAGATCACCAAAAAATACCACCTGTTTCTGTGAAGTTTGATGGGAACTGTTATAGTAGGGAGTTCCTGTATTATCTATGGCTTGTGTCATACTACAACACCAAGGTGGAGAGCTGGGACAGACACCTCCAGATCGCCATTCCCGTGCCTACAAAACACACTATAATTGCTTCGTGTGGTCCAGCTGCACCCACTGTCACCTACTTTCAAATTTACAGTTCATGATGTAGTCAGAGTGTCTTCTGGCTCATCAGGACTCATCTATGGCTGCCTTCCATTTTGAGAGAAATCCACTCTAACATGCTCTTAAAGTCTTTCTATGTGTTTATCACATCCTTTTTTGTTCAGCTTAAATAATTCCTTTTCATAATTGTACATGTATTATATTTAATATTTTATGTTATTTTGTTGTTTATGTCAGCTATTAAGCACTCAGAAGCTCTGGGATAACAAAATGGTATGAATTTTGAAATTAAACAACTTTAATGACTAACCTATGCAACCAACTGTCCCTTTGCATCTCAGAGGATTGGTTCCAGCAGCCAAACTAATATAAAATCCTCAGATGCTCACTCCCTACACAGAATGGTATGAGACGTATATAGAGATTATGTACATCTTCTCATATACTTTAAACCATGTGTTGATTATTTATACTCGATGTTATGGAAACAGCTGCTGTACTGTACCACTTGGGAAATGCTGAGCAGAAAGAAATTTCTGTACCGCACAATACACATTCAACCTTTTTCAAATATATTCAATGATCATGCAGAAACAGGAAACAGATGAACACATTCTGCACAGTCTGCAAGAATCTCTGAAGTTTGCACAGGACAAGGACAACTCCTGATTTTTAGTATAGGGGAAACCTTCATGACTGGGGAGGGCTGCCCGGCAGACGTTACTTCGGTATTATGAAGATAAACGCAAGATTAAAAGCGGCAACATTTGACTGAACAAAATGTAAAAGTAAAACTCTGAGGGTCAAAATTCTTGCAAGTAACTTAATTGTATGACAGAAAAATTATCACAGATATTGTCTATAAGAACACTACATACTCAATATCAATATCACATGACCAGAGAGCAACCAAAATTTACCAGGCATGCCAAAGAAGGTTAAAAACATTACTCATAAGGATGAAAAACTAAAGTAATGGAACAAAACTCTGAAACTATTCAGCAATATAAGTGGATACAAGCAAACAGTAGTCCAGGATATTAAAAGCTACTATTGGGGACTGGGGAGATGCCACAGTGGGTTAAAGTACGTATGTACGAACTTGATGACCTCTGAGTTCGGTATCCATAGAACCCACATGAAAAGCCACATGTGGTAGTGACTATCTGTAATGCCTGTACTCCACTGGCTAAATGCGAGGTGAAGAAAAGAGAATCACCTGGAAGTTTGTGGGTATGCAAGCCAGGTGCATGCTGTAGATCATTAGAAACAACAGGGACCCTGCCTTAAACCAAGGTGAAAAATGAAAACCAAGTACTGAAAGTTGCCCTTTAACCTCTGTATGTGGGCAATGAAATGTGTACACTTACACACACACACACACACACACACACACACACCACACACCACATAACACCATACCACACCACATACCTCTCCACACATACCATACCATAGTTACATAAGGAGAATGGCATTCTCTAGAAGACAAAGTAATATAAACAATCCAAAGCAAAGAAAGAATAAAAATAAATTAAGGGAGGGGCTGGAGAAAGGGTTCGGCAGTTAAGAGCATGGGTTGTTCTCCCAGAAGACCTGAGTATAACTCTCAATACCCACATGATAACTCACAACTGTCTGTAACTCCAGTCATAAGGCATTTGGCCTTCAAGGCCACCAAAGCAATGGATGCATATATACACACACGATGGACTTATAGGCAACTGTGGGATTTTAAATAACTGTAAGCGGGTACTCAGACACTAAAGAAGTATGAAAAGTTTTGGTGAAAAAATAATATGATCACATGCTCATGAAGCTCAAATACCTGTGCACATGGAAAGGAACTCTAAGTCATCAGAATTGCTTAAAACCTGTGAGAAAATTCTAGTCATACACCAGAAAAAATTAGCACATTTCATACAAAAGAGTTAAGGTGATAGTGACTTCCATCAATCACAAAACAACAAAGTAACATTGTTAAAATACCCAAAAAGAATACTGTCAAGCTAGTATTATATGCCCAGCAAAGATATCCTTTAGCAAAGAAGACTTTTCAATGAGACGAGGTGGTTTTAATATATCGCCATCCGACCTGCTTTGGAAGAAATGTTATAGGGAATCTTTCGGATGAGAGGAAGATGACAGGGATGCCCTTCCAGGGCAGGGAAGGACATAGCAATGAAATGACCATCTCAATGCCTTTGTCAACCACATTCCACATGGGGAGAACAACAGATAGCTAACTAGAATATTTATTTATTTATTTATTTATTTATTTATTTATTTATTTTATTATGTATACAATATTCTGTCTATGTGTGCCTGCAGGCCAGAAGAGGGCACCAGACCTCATTACAGATGGTTGTGAGCCACCATGTGGTTGCTGGGAATTGAACTCAGGACCTTTGGAAGAGCAGGTAATGCTCTTAACCTCTGAGCCATCTCTCCAGCCCCTAACTAGAATATTTTTAAATAATATAGTTACAACATTTATCTTCTTGGCTTTGGACTCATTTCTATGTCTAAATTTCAACAGAATTTTTTGTTCCAAGTTCATCATGCTTAGCAGTTTTGCTTTAAGTATATTGTTGCTTGGCAACACTTTGTAGTTTGGACAGTGAGAAGTCATTTGGCATTCCATTTGCCCATTCTCACTGAAGTGATTTTGTTTCAACATACAGACTTTCCTCTCAAAAGGCAGAACTGAAATAAAAGCTGTCTTTCCATGTGCCATCACCACCAATCACAGCTGATGGTTTTACCTGCCGCTAAGAAGCATCTGCAGGAAATTGAACACCAGGCCTGTAACTGACCACTGCTGTGAACCCCTGGAGTCAATGCTATGCTGAGCGTCTGTCAGGTGCACAGAACTGTCTGCTCATCAGGATGTG